CCAGCCCCCAGAGAGTGTGTGTCAAGTGCCTGGGATGGATGAGGATCGCCGTACCCCGTCCTCTGACAGGCTCTCCATCTCCCGTGAGCTGCCTCTGGCGTGTTTTGCATATATCTGTGGACCAGGCTGAAAGTGTGTGCTGGAAATTAATGAGTGGAAGTTAGACCAAGCCTCCTGGCCAGGAGTCCACACTTGGTTGCTTGCCATTAGCTGATGGGGAAACCTCCCTCCTTCATTTCCTGAGATGGTCCAGCTTCCCGGGGCCACGCCCCACGCCAGGCGCACCTCGCTCTCCTCTGAGTTTATTCCGGATGGTTCGGGATGCTTCGTGCCCCACCCCCTCTGATGCCGCTTTATGTCATCTCTCTGCAGACAGGAGAGAAGAGAAAATGTTGTCACGTGTCAAAAAGGTCAAAAAGAAACTTAGGCTTCAGAAATAGTGAGACAAGCAGGAAAATCATATTTGTGAGTAATTTAAAAAAAGGAAATTCAGGAAAAGAACAGTACTGTCAGGATAGGTCAGTGGTTGGTGGTTTGATGCTATTATTGCCTCCTTGTACATAGATAGGCACCTTTCCTAGATGATTGACAAGTGTTTAATTTATGAACAAAGGCATCTGTGCTCTGTCTCAAGGAAGGTCTGACTGAAATGCAATGGTGTGAACATTGCCACGTTGTAAATGGTTTGTGCCAGGAAGTTCTTGACAGCAACTTGAACCCAAGTCTGGTGAATGGTAGCCAAGGTGTTAAAGTGAGAAGGGGAGAGGATGCAGCATCCTGGCCACGTGGCCCTCTAGGGAGGAGCAGGGGCAGGAGAGGAGAATCAGATCTGAAATCCGATCTGAGGAGAAGTACTGGCCCTTGTCCTGATCAGACACTGAGCTTCTGAAAGCACGGTGACCTGCTAACCATCAGCGAGGACAGATCGTGGAAGGCCGTGCGGAGTGTCCGGTCCCGCTGTCTTCCCTTTCCTCTGCAGCCATGGCTAATGGTGCACCATCACCTGCAGCAGGCATAAATCCTTCCTCCCACAAGAGGATCTTGGCTGGATGTGACGTTTATAGGACTATAGGAGCAGCTGGCGATGTCGGATTCAAGGCAAGTAGGTTGTCTTGGACGTCCTATTTAGCAGATGGCCAGGACTTGATAGATTGAAGATTATTAGGATCCCAGTCAAGGGCCAAATGGCACATGGGCAGGAAAAGTAAATGGCAGTGCATATCTGAGCCCAGGTGCGTGCAGTCTAAGAGGGCTCTTGGCCTCCCTTTCATTTTGCTTCAAGAATGAATAAAACACAGGCCTGCCTAGAGCCTGGGTTATAGACACATCTTCAGAGATTATTGATTACTTGGTTATTAATGTGATAGTTGGTTGAATGCTTCTGGTGAGCTGTTATTTGGAAAGAAAATTTTATGAAGTTTGGATTTCATCAGCATTTATATACATTTGACCTTTTATCAAACTTGAGTGTCATAGTTTCCTGTATGGCTGATGTCTGTATGGATTTTGGTTCTAGCTACACCAGTGGTTCTCAACCTTCTGGCCCTTTAAATACAGTTCCTCATGTTGTGACCCAACCATAAAATTATTTTCGTGGCTACTTCATAACTGTCATGTTGCTACTGTTATGAATCGTAATGTAAATATCTGATATGCAGGATGGTCTTAGGCGACCCTGTGAAAGGGGCGTTCGACCGCCAAAGGGGTCGCGACCCACAGGTTGAGAACCGCTGTCTAAACACACTTCAAAGCTTGAACTCAAGCCCTAGGTTGCATTTGTGTGCCGTCCTTTTTGAAGATGACAAGTGTCATGGAAGCTGCGCCCAAATGGAAGTTTTGCAGTGAGAGCGCCCGACTGCCGGGAAAGGGGTGTCCATTTCTCCTCGTCCATCCGAAGCTCATTTGTGCAATCGCTGCCTCCTCGGCATTGCTGCATAACTCCTTTGATCTTAAAGTGGGAGGAAGCAAATGTCAAGAGCCCGGAGCACTCCTCATGTGGCTTGAAAAGGAGTAGCATAATAGGAAATTGAGCGGATGTCAAATAAAACATAACTTTGGATTTTTTTTTTTTTTAATTTGAACTCAAGTAGGTGCTACTTCTAGAGCTAAGTGCACTGAGAAGTCCAGTGATACAATTGCTGTTGTTTGACAGTGATTCAGATTTGAGTGTTTGGGTCAAGTTGTTTCCCAATCATATCTACCCCTATTGAATGTTGCATTGTACTCAGCTTTATACCCTGAGCTTTACACATTTCCTCTCAGTTCGGGTCATGCCTTACTGGAACAAACCTACTTATGAGCATGCTATTTGGATCCTCACCCTGAGCTTTGCAACCAACACATCAACTAGAGAATGAGCTTAGTATTATTACTAAGTTACCTTGACTGGCCAATAATCTCCATTTTCCTCTCCCTTTCTCCTCACCCATTTTCTCAACCCCAGCCACATACATTAGCAATGGAGGCAGTGGAGGTGAATGGGCATTGCAGGAGGCATTCCATTTATGGGCTTGCTTTGAATCTGGGGTCAGGCCCTTGAGCTTGAATGAGACCAGGCCTGAGTAATCAGACAGAGGGATACTGTAGGCAGAAGTGACCAGAAATTGAACTTGGGTTTGATGGTCTGCTTATTTCCCTCTTGCATGGGCTACAAATGTGATTGGTGGGTGTAGTCATGGAGGATTAGGAACACTATTTTTGAGCTTTCACATTTTCATATAAAACTAAGTGCACTTAAGGGTCCCCATAAATACAAAATATTCCCCTGTCTGCAATGTTCCCATTGGAGAGGGGGGTGACTCAGTTTTAGAGAAGCACATGAGTTGATCAGGTTGACAGCAGATGCTGTATCTTGTGACATTGAATTCCACTGAGAATCCTTGAGGACAAACCATAAGCAAAAGGTATTGGTTACAAAAATTATTGCTATCTTAGCCTGTCCCCTATCCTCTAACTCTACACACTCATAGATGCTCTAACAGCTAAGCTTTGCTCTGTAACAAATGATCCTAAATAATTAAAGCAATAGTGATGTAATTACTCTATGATTCCCATTTGGGTCAGCTTGACTGGTCTCTGCGAACTGAAGTTCTTCTGAGGCTGTGTGGTCTCGGATGGACTGGTGGGTCTAGAACAACCTTGGCTGAGTCTGCCTGTGTCTCCTCCATGTGGTCTCTCATCCTCCAGTGGGCTAGCCTGGGATTGTTCACCTGGCAGTCTCAGGATTTCAAAGAGTAACAAGAGAGTATAAAACCCTTCACTTAAGTCCTATTGAAACCTCTTCCTATATCACATTTGTTAGCATCACATTGGCCAAAACAAGTCATGTGATCAAGCCCAGTTTCAGAGAGAGATTTACTATATAGGACCAAATCCCACATTATTTTATTAGTCTATAAACATAATACCATATATAATGGCACCCAAAGATCCAGACAGTAATAGATAATCACTGTTAAATTATACAGCATCTAACCCGGTTACTCCACCCCAACTTCCACACTGTTACCTTGAACGATTGGAGGTGGGGGACCCATTCTCAGCATTAAGGGATGTTTAGCAGCAGCCCTGCCTCTACCCACTTGATGCTGGTAGCCCCTCCTCCTCCACCGCTGCTTGTGACAGCCGACAATGTCTGTGGACATGGCCAAATGTCCCCCGTGGGGATGGGGAGTGGGAGATAGGTAAGATTGCCTCCAGTTGGGAACAACTGCTCTAACCTGGAGACGCTGAAGCAGAAGAAAAAAAGAAACTTGTGAAGTACAGGTTATTATCAAAGAGCAAACTGAGCAGCAGCCCAGCAGGGAGACTCTAAGTGGGGAAGGAGAGTAGACATTTTTCAGTTACCTTAAAATTTAACCCAAGATGGCCCCGGATTCCTCTAGATAACTAGGAAACATCAAGTTGGGTCTTGCTGCACATTGAAAGATTCATCAATATCTCAACTTCATTATGTTACAAGTGGATTAAAAGCAAATATCTTTCCTGAAAAAAAAAATTCAGGAGCTATGCTGGCCACAGATAATGCATTTTGAAAAACTCTTTATTTGGGAGAAGTTAAACATACACAGAAGTAGAGAAAATTGTATCGCGATCCATCCAATACTCATCACCCAAGGTCATAAATGATTGATGAGTGGCCAGTCTTGTTATATCTGTATTCTGCTCACTTCCCCTACTTTTCAGTCCTGCATTATTTTGAAGCAAATTCCAGTCATTTCATTTTACTGGTAAATATCCAATGTGTCTTTAAAAAAAGTACCTAGAAACCAAAATTATAATATGCTGGTGGAATTTTAAACTTCTAGAAAGGACAAGAATGAGAATTTATGCTGAGTAGTATCAGAAAGTTGAGGGAAAGTGTAGGTGATGGTCAAGATCAGAGAGGCTTGACTTATGGGGATATTTAAAACCCCAGAAGGAAATGAAGGTGGGAGACACTGTCTCTTCGAACTCTTCTGTCCTCTCCTCTCCTCTCACCTCGCCTGCTCTGAGGGACTCTTAGAAATGCCCTTTGTAGTATGTGATAAGACACAGGAGACCAGGGTTCTTAGAAGGAGAGTAAGCTGGCAGGGAACAGATCATTTTCTTAAAAGAAAAGAAATAAACACAATCACAATAAGGCATTGAAATATTCAGTCAGTGATGGATTGCTCTCTGACGACTTTCAATGACTTTAGCCGATCAGGGTCTATCTACTTTTAATAAAACAAAGAAGGAGTGCAGAGTCTTGCTGTTGCTTTTTAAAATTTTGCTCGGACTATGGTATTTCTCCCCCGCTCTCATGTATTCTGAGAAGTTTCTTTCTTTTGATTTAGACTTCCTCACTTGATTTTATTATGCCATAAATCTATGTTTGGCGAGAGCCAGGGTATATGTGAGACCTAAGCAGGTTGCTAGATAACATCTATCTCCCCCTCCTTCTCTTTAGAAGATTAAACTGAGACTGTTGTGTCTGATGCCAGAATAGATTTAACCAATCATGTTTCCTTTACATGTAGGTCAGTCCAAGGGACAATTCTGCGCTGGATCCTATTATCCATGGGTTGAAGGGCGTCGTACATCATGGTAAGTAAGCCACGTTCACTTCCTTTTGCTGGGAGGTGAAGGGCTAAGATCTTCCTACAGAAATGGGTTATCTTGCAGAGGACAGAGGGTGACACTCATTCCTCATCCCCTGATGTTGAAGGGCATTAGAGCCATTATTTGATGGGTAAGGAGCACGCCCATTTATTACCTACAAATGGATCTGGGTTAACAGTAAGCAATTTATTTCCTTTCAGGTACCACTCTGAATGCCTGTGTCATAAATCAAAATGCCCTGAGATGTACCTACCATTCATACGCTTTGAACCTGCCACTTGTCTCATCTCTCTTCAAAAAATAGTGTTCTTTCAAGTATCTTTTAATTTATAAATTTCTTGATTTGCCTCAGATTGAGAGGGAAAATTTTAAGTTGTTGTGAAATCCAGAATAAGGTTGATACTACTGAGATATGGCTAAGGACTCCTCTGAATGCCTGTGTCATAAATCAAAATGCGCCCTGAGATACCTACCATTCATACGCTTTGAACCTGCCACTTGTCTCATCTCTCTTCAAAAAATAGTGTTCTTTCAAGTATCTTTTAATTTATAAATTTCTTGATTTGCCTCTCAGATTGAGAGGGAAAATTTTAAGGAGCTGTGACAAGTCATTAAACTTTGCCGCATGTGAGCAGGCACCATCAGCTCTTCGAAGGGAGAGAGCCCGGCCGTAGTTCTGTGCGGCAGACGTCTTATCCCGGGGCATAAAACTGGGAGAGAAAGTAAGATAAATGGGTTCTGTCTTTCCCAACTGGTTTTTATTGGAGAGATTTTCCTGCAACTTTATTATCGGTAATACATCATTACCTGTGACATCAGGATCCTCCAATTTCAAAAGCACCCTTGTCGCAGCGAGGGGCGGAGTCTGGATGTAGTGTAATGATTTTCAAAGGTTTAATAATCTAAGTAGAATTTCAAAGACATTGACGGAAATAGCATTAGTAATCATAATAAATCTCCCCTTATCTCCACGCTGTGACAAAATGTCTTGCACCGGCTGGGAGGATTGTCTTAGACATTAGCCAACTCTGCAGTATTTAGCTATCCCACCTCCCCCCTTTTAAGGGAAATTAAAACCAGCTGTCAGTGTCTGGTTGCAGCAGGTGAAATTTTGGATCGATCTGCTCCTGTATCACCCAGCAGGTGACAAGAGTAAACCTCATCACAGGAGAGAAAAGACCCCATAGAGGTGTTCATTGTAGGAAGTGTCTCTGGCTTCTTCTCAGTTTCAGTGTGTTGTGTCTTTGAAGCAGACCTCACAGAGCTGCGAAGTAGGTCGTATGACAGGCCCCCTAGGGAACTAGGTACCGTTGCCAAAACTGCTTCTGTCTGCACATTTGTGTGTGATGTTGGTTGCAGAGTGGAGTGTGGGCAGCTTCGGCGGTGCAGAGAAAGCTGGTGTGTGGGCAACACGATGTGTATTCTGAGCTCCTTTCCCCAAAGATCCTCTTGCACACGCCATTGATCCGACTCCTTCTTGACATTCCTGTCCATAGTGTAGATTCTGAGTTTGGGTGTTTGAGAAACATAGTAAATGATAGTATTAGGTCTTCCTTTCCCAGACGAATCTTCCTTTTTTTAAACCAACACACTGGAAAGAATTCTAGTAACTTCAAAACAGACACCTGTTCTTCAGCCAGAGAGGACGTGCTCCACCAGCTGTGGCATCTGAGTAGCCCCGGGTGTGCTCACTTCCACAGAGATATGGAAGGAGATCCCCTATGTTACCGACAGCAGTGGGGCTCCCTTGAACTCTCACATCCCCAAATCTCAGCACACTCACTGCATGGCCACCCTTCAGTTCATCAGCTGTGTCCTGGCACAATCCTGGCGTCTTTCCTCCTTACCCGCCATGGCCTCCAAGGCGCTGTCACGTGTAGGAAGACTCCTGGGCACAGGATGGTGGCAGGCGTCTGGGCTGCAGTTTCTGCCCCAGCTTCGGATTGACAACCCAGAGGAGACGTGCAAAAAAGCAATTACCTGCGAAGGTCGTGCACTAACTTTTTCAGTAAGAGTGTGGCACGTCTACTCTGTGACATCACAGGGCTGGCCCATTGAGTGGGACCCACACGGGCCAGCCCTCAGGGACCTGGCAGGGAGGCGAAGTGCTGCCTCCCCGGGGCCCAGCCTGCCCAGTTCACCCCTGTCAGCCTGTGCACTGGCTGTTTCTGTTTTCTCTGTCAGGAAGGTTCTGGAAGTCCCTTAGCTCACAGCAAGGGGGTCGCCCTCTTACTGTTTCTGTTCTCAGTTCAGACCTTGCCTCCTCAGAAAGTTCTTAACCATCTCAGCAAATTACCCACCCTCTCCCCGCTCCCTGTCACCTCATCCTAGGTTTCTTTCCTCAAAGCACTTAGAAGTATCTGCAATTACCTTGTTTGCTCACCACTCAAATATCACCTATGGAAGCATACGCTTCATGAGGGCGAGAACCCGTGCGTGTGTGGCAAATAGTAGATGCTCAGTAAACATTAACCATATGAGTGGGTCAAGGAAGCATACACATAAGAGAAAATATCAAAACGTAAGACTGGAAGACAGGGAGGAGACACCAGAGGGCCCTCGGGTTTGCTTCAGTTGGGAAGAGAAAGGAGTGGAGATCCCACCCTTGGTTCTCAGGCTGTGGCTGACTTCCATGGTGACAACCCTCATCACTTCCGTCGTTCTTGCAAAGGAGAATGGGCTTCAAATGGCTAAAAAAAAATGTTGTTGTTGTGGGAACCAGAAGCATTTTCAGTTGCAGGCCCAGTGAGGGATTTGAATGCTCTGCCTATTTGATGGGACATGAGTAATCGTGCCCTTCACAGAATCTCTGGCTTGGGAATGATGACAGAGATGTGTAAAGAAGAAAAAGTCAATATGGATTTTTGTTGTAGTTCAGAATTAGCTTTGATTTCTTCAGCTCGGGGAGCCATATCGTAGAATATTGATGTCTCATTAAGTGAATGTTTTATTAATGGGAGGAATCTTCCGTTCCTTCAGCCGAGATGGGAATGAGTAATCTGGTCACTCCAGCCAATCATCCCTGGCCCTTGGTCACTAGGGTTCTCTGTGAAGCAGACACCGAGATGGAGTTTTAATTGCAGGAGGGTTTTGTAGGGAGGGACTTCCTGCAAAGGATGAAGAGAAGAGGCAGCAGGAGCAGGTGGGGCGAGTGTGGGACCGCGGTGCAGGCCCGGCACCTATGAGAGGGGTCAGGAGCCAGGAGGATGGCCGAGGAAGTCCTGGCCAGGCTGTCGGAGAACCGCAGGGCAAGGCTGCGGGCAGGAGTTGTATGTTGGGCAGGAGTGGCCCAGCCCGGGTCTCCAGCGTGTTGTCATTGGCTGGAGCACCCAGCGGCGGGGTGTGCCCGTGGACGCAGTGGTGGGTCCCGAGGCCCCGCGCCTGCAGGCTGTCCACCCGAGGAAGGCGGGTCCGTGGGGAGCATTCCCACACCTGGCACGGAGGTTCTCGTCCTTCCGAGGACATTTTCCTAATCACCTCCGGTCCTCTCGCTTTTAAAAGACTCCGTGGTTGCCCTAGCTGGCTTGGCATAGCTGTGATCTTATCAACAATAACAAATATATTAAAGATAATAAGACATAACAAAGACATAAATAAATAAAAGCCTCTGAGGTTCGTACCGCAGTGCTGTTCCCAGGAGAAATACCCACACGGGACTTGTACGTGGGAGCTTTGTTCCTCACCATCCCACAATGGCTATGTGGCCAGTGCCAAGAGATGGACATGATCTCCCATGTCAGTTAAAAGTGTTTATTTTTTCTTTCAGGTTTTTGGATTACCTACTCTTGTTCTTTTTCATGGTGTCCACCCCAACGTCGCATGGTTATTAAGTACTTAATCTAAGTATACCATGAAGCCAGGCCCGGGGGACTCCCCCGACGTGGACCAGCCCTTAAGGCAGTGGTTCCCAACCCTCCGGCCCTTTAAATACAGTTCCTCATGTTGTGACCCAACCATAAAATTATTTTCGTTGCTACTTCATAACTGTAATGTTGCTACTGTTATGAATCATAATGTAATTATCCGTTATGCAGGATGGTCTTAGGTGACCCCTGTGAAAGGGTCGTTTCACTGCCAAAGGGATCGCGACACACAGGTTGAGAACCGCTGCCTTAAGGAGTTTATGGACTCTTGGGAGAGGCAGGTTAAGCATGTAATCACATTGAAGAATGGGAGCAGAACACTGAACTCAAACTTGGGGGCTTAGAGAAGGCCTCTCAGATAGAGTGACCTCTAAGAGGGGTGGGGCGGGGAGCAAAAACAAGAAGGACTTAAGGAGTGGCAGAGGCTGTCCAGCAGAGAAGGGCGCGCTGGGCTGAGGCTGGACCCGTGGAGGAGAAGGAGCCTGCTGCTTGAGGCGCTGAGCTCAGCGACTTGCTTCTCTGACGCTGGGGAGAAACACCAGAAGCCTTTTTGGCAACACAGAGTGCTGCTTCTACGTGTTTATTTTTCTGTGTAAATTGTGATTTTTACAAACTGGAGAGCCATGAAGAATTAGAACTAGAATGGAGAGAGGGGATTTGCTGTGGATTCTGGTCCTATCTACCCATCAAGCAATAGAAGGAAACACTTCAAAGTACCTGATCAGGTATTTTATTTACTACCAGTAACCGCATGAGAGGCCAGTTAGACTGTAACTGTTAGAGGGAGAAATTGTGAGTCCTACTCCCTGCACTGACTGGTCATGTATAGGGCTTTGCTAAGCGAGAAACCCAGCCATGAGAGTAGCCAAACCTCTGAAAATATTGGTTCCGAAGAACATCGTCTAGTTCTCATTTGTAAAACTCCGTTTTACTGTGTCCACACTGCACATGCACAAGCTGGTGTGGGAGCTGGGGTAGAAACGTGGCCTCCGTGACGCGAGGTTTGCCCAGCTGGCCAGTGCTAGGAAGTGGACATGATCTCCCATGTCAATTACAAAGTGTTTACTTTTTTCTTTCAAGTTTTTGGGTCACCTACTCTTGTTCTTTTTCATGGTGTCCACC